GGAGAGGAAGAGGTTTTGTTGTTTTCCGCCAAGTAGGAGATTAGAGCATGTGTCAGTGTTTCTGGGGAGATTTGGGTCTGTGGGAGAGAGAGCTAGGGGTACCAGGGAACATGAGATTCCTGAGTCCGGAGAGGGGACGAGTTTCTCTATTGTAACTGGAAAGGCAGAGCTGAACACTGGCATAAATCCAACTGGTGTAATTTGTTAGGCTTGGTGGTCGAAATGAGGCTATATACATCCGATGGCTCTTATTCTCACAGAGAAGGAGGTGTCAAAGCCATCTTCTTAGAGGCTAAGACTGGTTAAAAGTGTGAGTGCAGAGTGTGTGATGGGTACCAGAAGCAGACAAGAGTGAGTTGACAAGGGAAAAGGCTCGGATTGCTAAGCAGTGTAGAAGAGTAGGGGCAGGCTGAGAACTCTAGGGGAAGAGCTACTGATGGGTCTGAATGTATATATATGTATATATGTGTATATTTTTTTTTCCCTCTAGTTGTGCTCAGCTTCCCTGGAGCAGGAAGGGAGAAGAGTAACTGGGGTCATCCGGATTTAGGATTGTTTCAAGGAATAACTGCTCAAACTCTGTTGCTGTATGGAAAAATAACCTCTCACACTGCTCTCCAAATCAAACAAATCCTTTCTTTTTAATCCTATGGTCTCCAGTCCCCCTCACCACCACCACCACATAGCTGACGTTATCTTCCATGGCTCTTTTCCTTGCTTCCCAGTGTCTTTTACAATGATAGAGGCAGTGCCGTGTAGTGGCTGAGTAGACTCTGGGCACCCAGTCTTCCTGGTACTGTGGGAAGCAACTCGGACTAGACTGTTACTGGAATTAAGACTTATTCTATGCATCTGCTCTCCCACAATATGGCGCTGGGAGAGGAGGAAACAGCTTCCATTCAGCTGCCTCCAGTTCAACCAATAAACTGTAGGACCTGCTCCTGATTGGAGGAGAGCAGCGTACTCGGTGTGTGGGTAGCAGAGTTGGGATTGGTGGAAGAGGACTATAAAGGAGGAGAGAGACAACATGCACCAGGAACACCTGAGGAACATCTGAGCAGCCCCCGAGAGAGCCGGCCGGCAGTGTGCCACTCCCCCGCGGAAGTGGGTTAAGTGGCAGGGGGAACCGCCCTTCCACAGAGGTGGAAGGGATGGTAGCCAACCCGGGAAGAACCAGCAGCAAACCCGGGGAGGGCCGAGCAGACAAAAGAACAGCGCAGGGTCTTGTGTCGTTCCTCCACGAAGAGGGGGAGCGACATAATGGTGCCGTGACTCGGATAGGAAACTTAGGAGGGAAGAAGCGGAAGAAGCGGGAAAATACCGGAGAGTGAGACTAGAAGAGCCTAGGGAAAAGCCGGACGGAAAAGGTGCTGGAAGAAGCTATCGAAAGCCTAGGCATAGACTCGGATACGGACTGTGGGAAAGAAGTTAGGATTGGACGTTAGGGTTGAAAGTGAAAGTGAAACCTAGAAGAAACTTAGACTTGGATACGGACTGTGGGGAGAAGCCAGGAGAAATGAGAGGGGAATATTGTTGGAAGAAAAGTTAGGAAACATACCGGGTAGAGAAAAATGTTAGGGAAAATGAAGCTGCAGGGGCAGGCTGAGGCAGAGACGTAAGCTAGCTTGGGATTCTTCAAGTCAGCCCGGGGAGCAAAAGGCGAAAAGCTAAAACTAGAGGCGGACGCGTAAGCCAGGTTGGAATCCGTCAGATTAGCCCGGGGAGCAAAAGACGGGAAGCCAAACCGAAAGGCGCAGACGTGAGCTAGGTTGAATTCGCCAGGTTAGCCTGGGGAACTTAGACTGAATACCGGTGGTGGAAACGTAAGCTAGGCTGTGTGATTCGCGGAAGCTGCCGCGTGCAGAGAGAGCGCGCAGGGCACGAACGGGGACAGCGTACGGGGCGCTAATAGATAGGGAACGCGGGGCTAGTGCGAAGGCCGTGGTGCGGGCGCAAAGGGCGTGGAGACCGCGGAGCGCGCGGAGCCGGGAAGCCGCCGCGGGGCGAGGCGCCGAGAAGCAGCCTCGGGGCGGGCACCGGGAAGCCGCAGGGATAAGAGAAACAGAAGTTTAGAAGTAAAATGAGAGAAATAGGAATGCTGGCAGATAGAAGTAAAATAGGAGAAACAGGAATGCCCGGAGATAGAGAAATAGAGAAAAATAAGGCCTCCCCACAACATGGCAATGAGAGAGCTTGGATTCGGTCTGCCTGATTAGTAAGACGATAAGCACCTGTGGGCGGCTAGCAGCTTACCCGCTGCAGGTCACTGAAGACAGGCACGTTATCAACACCAATAAGTCTCCCCACAAGACAGCAATGAGAAGGCTTGGATTCGGTTTGCCTGATTGGTAGGGCTTGTAAGCACCTGCAGGCAGTTCTAGCAGAGCAGAGCATGCGCTGCAGGGCACCGAACACAGGCACGCATCAGCGCCTAAAAACCTCCTCACAGCATGGCGAAGAGAGGACCCGGATTTGGTTTGCCTGATTGGTAGGGCTTGTAAGCACCTGTGGGCAACTCCAGCAAGCAGAGCAGAGTGTGTGCCACGGGGCACCGAAGACAGGCATGTATCAACGCCAAAAAATAAAAAGAAAGGGGGATCTGTGGGGAGCAACTCGGACTAGACTGTTACTGGAATTAAGACTTATTCTATGCATCTGCTCTCCCACAATATGGCGCTGGGAGAGGAGGAAACAGCTTCTACTCAGCTGCCTCCAGTTCAACCAATAAACAGCAGGACCTGCTCCTGATTGGAGGAGAGCAGCGTACTCGGTGTGTGGGTAGCAGAGTTGGGATTGGTGGAAGAGGACTATAAAGGAGGAGAGAGACAACATGCACCAGGAACATCTATCTGAAGGAACACCTGTGCAGCCCCTGAGAGAGCCGGCCGGCGGTATGCCACTCCCCCGCGGAAGTGGGGAAAGTGGCAGGGGGAACCACCCTTCCACGGAGGTGGAAGGGACGGTAGCCAACCCGGGAAGAACCAGCAGCAAACCTGGGGAGGGCCGAGCAGACGAAAGAACAGCGCAGGGTTCTGTGTCGTTCCTCCACGCAGAGGGGGAGCGACACGGTACAAATCCACATTTAGCACTAGTTAGCTGTGTGACCTCAGCCCAACCTCTGCGCCTCAGTTTTTCCATTTGTAAAATAAAGAGAGTAATGAAAATAGGATGCCCTCGCTAGGGCTGCTATGGGGGTCAGCTAGTGTGAACACTGCACAGAGTACTAGTGGTTGCTCCTATAAAATACTCGCACTGAGTAGGCTTTGCAAATTACAGGATACTTAGCCCATCCCAACATTTCAGGTCCTCTCTTTCCCCTTTTCCCACAAAGTCACTATTGCTGCACATTTATGGTAAGCATGAGGGAAGGTCTAAGACTTGAATTATTAGGGAATCATTCTTTACTTTTTATTTGAGACACATTTTTGTCTCAAGTATTTTCATAGGACCAGATTGGCCGCTGACCTTGTCTGTGTATCTTTCATTTCCAAATTTATCTCCCACCTCTTCCGAAATGCTGCACGTCTTCTTCACAGATAGCAATTCTGGCGATGCAGCACAAGCTCCTCCGTTGGGTGATAGGCCCCCTGCAGGCAGGTACCGGCATTTTCACCGGTCACTAGCATTAACGCCCTGGACGCTGCCCATACATGAAGTAGGCAACAAAAATGGCAGAAGAAGAAAAAAAGGGGGGGGGGGAGTAGGAGCAGAAACCGCAACTTCTTGACTTGCGACTCATAGACCATGTGAGGCCATCCTACTGCAGCACAAATCTTAGCTCTTCCACTGGATGATTGCATAGCTTCTAGCTAAAACGCAATCCTGTAAGCAGTGCTTCCCTTGTTATTCCTCTCCTCCTCCTGCTCATCCCAACAAGGCTCTTAGAGCCATTCCCACCGCACAAGCCGCGCCTGTCCTGAAACTTCCTGCATCTGAAGAGGTAGGATAGGATTCCTTTCATTCCTGGACGCTTTCACAGCATCACCTTGTCACTCCCAAACTCACAGATTTCCCCTTAACTCGCCAGGCAGGTTTAACCACAATAGTCAGGGCTGGACCCAGCCAGAGCCAGGCGCCAGGAACTCCATCTGGGTGACACATGGGTGACAGGACTCAAGGACTTGCTCCACCACCTGCTGTGGCCCAGGGTGCATCTTAGCAGGAAGCTTGATCAGAAGCAGAGGCAGGACTTGATCCCAGGTGCTCCACAGGGGAAACTGGTGTCAGCTGAACACGCTACACCACAGCACCCGCCCGTCTCCTCCTGCCCTTTATTCACAAGTGCAGAATTTCTGTCTTTTGATACTTTTCATAATTGGAAGATCCAAATAGCTCCCTAAATCCTATAAGTGGCATCCCATTTTCTCACAATGCCAAAAAATACACCCTTCTTCGTTTTAGACCTTTAACAGGAAAATATTGCAGATCTCTCTTAAGTGTTAGGTCAGCTGCATTAAGTCTATATGTTTCATAACAATGATTGCTAGACAGGACAGATTATCTCATAGACTTGGTACTATACTGAGAGTGGCAAAAAATTATTGTTATAAGTTTCTGATTGTTGGGGTCGGCACCATGGTGCACTAGGTTAATCCTCTGCCTGCGGCATCCCATATGAGCGCCAGTTCTAGTCCCGGCTGCTCCTCTTCCGATCCAGCTCTGTGCTATGGCCAGGGAAGGCAGTAGAGGATGGCCCAAGTCCTTGGGCCCCTGCACCTGCATGGAAGACCTGGAAGAAGCTCCTGGCTCCTGGCTTTGGATCGGTGCAGCTCCAGCCATTGCGGCCATTTGGGAAGTGAACCAATGGAAGGAAGACCTTTCTCTCTGCCTCTCCCTTTGTCTGTAACTCTACCTCTCAAATAAATAAATACAATCTTTAAAAGAAATGTTTCTGATTGTGATGATGCTCTGAGAAGCAGGAAAAATAAAACTTCTTTTGCTCTAACATGAATCATTGTATTTCCATCTTTGATTACAAAATAATGACATATACCCACCTGTCACACAAAGACTTAAATATTAATAAACATCTTCAAATACTTCACAAGAAAAAACGCTGGCTATTTCACAATGAAATTTTCATATGATAGCTGATGTCTTCATAACTAGCTCCAAAAACTTATTAAGGCTGTGAAACACTGAAAAACAAAAGGATAGGGTGCAGGAGGGAACAGAAAGAGGGAGAATACACAAACCATCTTTTAAGTTCCGAGCAGACGATTCTGTTCATAGTGGCATTTGATATTGGAAATTTCACATACACGAATCCTGAATTGTGCTTTTAAATTACTGTAAAAAACTTTTGTTTTGCAACATTTCTGAAGGTACCTTCAGTTTTCCTGAAGTATCTTTCTGGCATTATGCCTGTGTTTTCTGATACCCTATTACATGTAATAACATCACACCAATTCCCCTTTTCTGATAAAGACCACATTGTTTCAGACTTGTCTATAAAGCAAAACCCGTCTATTTTCTTTTCTAACAACATATCCATTCTTCCAAATGCAGGAAAGTATGATTCTCTCGGAAAGTTCAGGAGTTACCCAAGAACATGGTCTCTTTTCAAAATATATTTAGAACTCCGCTTCGGAATCACCCGAAAGTTAGAAGTTAGAAGCCGCCGGGGAGCCAGCCGCACTGTTACTTCACGGAGTGCTCTCTGTCTTTTAACACTAAAAGTGGCATCACTCACCTTATTCAATCAACTCAGCTTTAAATGAACATTTTTGGCTGTACCCAACAATAAAACTTACCTCAAAAGGCAGAGGTTTTTTTTTTTCTGCTTTGAATATCACTTTTTCAAAATGCAAAAGCATTCTGACTGGCGTCCCCGAAATCGTCAGAAATAAAAAGTAGCAGCTTAGAGTAACATTAAAGCCTGGAAGCTTCCAGAAGCAGGTAATTGTGGGGGCGGGGAGGGTGGAAAGGCTGCGAATACTTTAAAAAAAAAAAAAGCCACATTTCTTTATGCCCACATTTGTATTTGCCCTGCGGATGACTGAATCGTACATAGTAACAGACCACCTTCTCAAAAATCCTAAAAACGGCTTTAAATAGGATTTGAATTTAAAATTTCCCACAAGTATCAGGGGGGTGTGTGGGGGAGACATACACCGGTGTGTGTAAGGGCCTAAGCACCCGAAGCACGTGTCAGAGGTGCGAGTTCTCGATCTGACGTCTGGTTGAATGCTGGTGATTAAGAGGGGGCTTCAACGGCTCTGGGCGTCTCTGTTCTCGCCTGAAACCCTAGGTAAGGTTGCATTCCGCGACTCCTTGTTTGTTTCACAGTGTGATTCCTGCAACACAAACTTTTCAGTGGTGGTGAATTTTATTTTTGTCATTTTTGGCACTTCGAGCGCACAAGCTTGGTTGTGTGGTTTAAGATGGTTTTAATTTTTGCATTTTACATTCCTTTGGGCACTTTTTAAGAAGCGGGCGCTGTCTTCTCCGTCGCTGCGGGGACGCGGTAACCCTCTGCCTCTGTCTCTTTAGTTTTAAAGGCTTTTCTCATGGACGGCCACGATTCTCCCGGGGATCCCGCGTCATTCATCGGAGCGGGTGGCACTTGTCCACCCCGGCCTTGCTAGAAGCTGGTATCCCTGGCTTCCGGCTTCGGCGCTTTGGCCACTGCTGTCACAGGCTCTGGGAGTCCCTCCCGGCAGAAAAGCACAACTGGGTTTTTCCGGGCCCACAGGGCCACGTCCGCTCCAGCCCCGCTGGCCGGGTTGGAAGGGGTCCTTCTGCTGCAAGCCCCCAGCCGCTTGCCGCAGCGGTTCCGGAGGCGCTGGAGGCTCCTGGCCGGCGGCCCGGGGCCCTGGCTGGGCAGCAAAGCGTCCAGGTTCCTAGTCCGGTAGCCCTCCTCGCGGCTGCGCCCCAGCAGCATGGCAATGTTGGGGTTGCGGACGGCATAGATGACAGGGTTGATGGCCCCGTTGGCCCAGGTCAGCCAGACGGCCACCACGTTGAGCAGCGAGGGCGCTTGCGAGGCCTGGGCCTGGCGGGCCGCGGCCAGCAGCACCAGGAAGCAGTAGGGTCCCCAGCAGCAGATGACAAAGACGATCATGAGCAGCACGGTGGTGGCCGTGCGCACCTCGCTGCAGAAGCGCAGCACGCGCGCGTAGGTGGTCACGGGCCGCACGCGCACGTCCGACAGGCGCACGGTCCTGCAGATGTGGTAGTGGCAGAAGCACATGAGCAGGAAGGGCAGCAGGTAGCAGGCCACCACCAGCCCCACGCTGTAGGCCGCGCCCAGCTGCGCGGGGTCCGGGGAGGTGCGGTAGAGGCAGCCGTGGAAGCTCTGCGCCGCCGCCGCCGCCGCCGGCTCCCGGGGCGTCCCGAGCAGCTCCCAGGGCAGCGAGAAGCCCAGCGCCGCCAGCCAGGCGCCCGCCAGCAGCTGCAGCGCGCGGCGCCGGCCGATCTTGTCCCGCGGCGGGCGCACGATGGCGCAGTAGCGGTCCAGCGAGATGAGCGCCACGCTGAACGTGGACACCATGCCGAAGCAGGAGCTGAAGAAGCGGCTGGCGGCGCAGAAGCCGCGCCACTGGCCCCCGGGCGGCGTGAAGAGGTCCAGGAAGGCGGCGGGCAGGCACAGCAGCGCCGTGAGCAGATCCGACAGCGACAGCGACAGGATGAAGGCGTTGGTGACGGTGCGCAGCGGCCGGTGTTTCACGATCACCCCCATCACGGCGCAGTTGCCCAGGCTAGACAGCAGGAAGATGAGCAGCAGCACCAGCGCCTGCACCGCCACCGCCGCGCCGTGCGGCCTCCCCGCCGCCCCCGCCGCCCGCGCCGGGCCCGCAGCCCCGGGCCCGCCGCGCCCGCCGCCACCCGCGGCGCCGGCGCTGCCGCCCCCGCTCCCCTCGCTCTGGTTCCCCAGCGCCGCGGCCGCCGCGGTCGCCACGGTGCTGAAGGCGAGCGCGGCCGCCGTCGCCGCGGAGGGCGTCCCGCCAGGAGAGCCGGCCGCGGAGGGGGCGCCGGGCGGCGGGCTGCCAGCCCAGGCCATGCTCGCTGGTGGGCGGGCCGGCGGCGGCGGCGGCTGCTCCTCCATGGGGCTCCGTGGCGGCCGCGGGTCTGTTCATCCCGCCGCCCCGGGGCAGGCGGCTGCGCGGCCGGAGGGGGAGCCGGGCGAGGCCGGAGCGGTGGTGGGAGCCTGGGACCCGGCGAAGCCCTGGGCGCGCGCGGGTTCGCGGCGTTGCCGAGGGAACCGCGTGTTTACGCAGCGCGCGCGCGGGGCGGGACGCCGGCCCGGTACCCTCCGGAAAGCCGGCACGGCCTGCCGTGTTCCCGCCGGGTCACCTCCCCACCCCCTCTCCCAACCCCAGAGAGTCAGGGCTGAGGGGAACGCAGGGCCCCGGGCAACCCCCTCCAGGAACCGCTGCCTGGCCAGATGTCCAGGGTCGACGAGGTTCACTGTCACTCTGGGCCAGGGGCGGCGGTCCTACAGCAAGGCCCCTGCTAGGAGCGCTCCGCTTTCTGTGGGTGTTCTAGAACCTGAAGTGGAAGTCCACATCCCGAAACCTTAGACTTGAGGGGCAGCAGAATTGGCATGAGAGGTGGTAGGGGTTCTCCAAGTCCACACTTTGAGAACCACTGGTGGACTGCCTTGACTGAGCCCCAGCATTAGCGAGAAGGAGCACCTGAGTGCAGCTGTGTGTCTGGTCTCAGGCACAGGAGGAGCCTGGGGAGGGGAGCGGGCTGTTGGCCTGAGGGCGTTCTGCACCTGCTCTAGGGAATGTGACCGGTTTTGAGCCTAAGGTGCTGTGTGCGCGTGCACCAGGCAGTCGCCACTGCGCCGCCCCCAGATACCTGGTGGGGAGACAGGGAACGTGGGCACGACAGCCCAAGGAAATCGCATCTCGGGTTCCCGGCGTGGCTTCCAAGGGCAAAAGTGTAATTAGACCCTGCAGTAAACCCAGGGCCGTGGGCTAAAGCAACGTGGGCCTCTACCCAGCAGCAGGAGCAGCCCCAGGGGGCCTCTCGGGCCCTAACGCAGAGCTGGGGACCTGAGACTCCGTGGAAAGCCCCCCTCAACCCCCGCGTCCCTTGTGCTGATTTCTGAGGCACGGTCAAGTTTGATAAACAGGGCTCTAAAGAATGCCTGATGACGTTGATGCCTTAAGTCCCAGTGAAATCTTGTACTGGAAATCAAAAGCCTGAAGGGAAGAGAGTTAAAGGTGGTGAACCGACTCGGAGTTCCTGAGCCTCGACGTCACTGACACTTGAGGGCATGAGGCTCTCGTTGCGAGGTTGTTCTGTGCACCCGTGGGATGCTGCCAGAATCCCTAACCTCTACCCGAGAGATGCCAGTGGCACCTCTCCCAGCAGTGACACTGAGACTGTCTCCAGACATTGCCAAATGTCCCCTTCAGATTCAATCCCAGCTGAGAACCACTCCAGATAAAATTATTGATTAATTATCAAAATAGTGATAATTATCAAAAATATTAATTAATTTATTTAGCAAATTACAATCTTCTAACATTGTGCTTAGCTTAGGAAACAAGATCTCAGTCCAAAGAGGCTTACAGTCTTTTTTTTTTTTTTTAAGATTTATTTATTTGTTTGAAAGTCAGAGTTATTCAGAGAGGAGAGGCAGAGAGAGACAGAGAGATCTTTTATCCACTGGTTCACTCTCCAAATGGCCACAACGGCCAGAGCTGTGCAGATCCAAAGCCAGGAGCCAGGAGCTTCCTCCAGGTCTCCCACGTGGGTGCAGGGGCGCAAGAACCTGGGCCATCTTCTGCTTTCCCAGGCCACAGCAGAGAGCTGGATCGGAAGTGGAGCAGCCGGGACTCGAACCGGTGAAGCTTACAGTCTTAGGCAAGGACAAGGTGATGAGTTGTTAATGAAATTCTATGGTGGTGACTAACTTCCTAGGGCCACTGATGAAAACTTTGCAGGAAGGACATCTCGAGTTCCTTCCTGCCTTTCGCTGCCTCAGCATCTCTCTTCTGCTAGATCCTCCCTTTCCACCTGCCTTTTGATGCTGGAGCCCATCAAGGCCCAGCCTTTCATTCCTCAGGACTTCTCCCGCATCTCACATCCAGGGCTTTGAGGACTGAATATTCTTAACTCCAAATTATATCTCTGGCCCGACGCATATATCCCTGGTACTTGGCATATCCCCTTTGATGTGCAAAAGCACCTCAAGCTCCACATGACCCAAATGGAACTCCCCGTCTCCTTTGCTTCCCTGGAAACCTTGACCTCAGCATCCTGTATCTCAGAACATGGCACCCCCATCCATTCAGCTTCCCATCGAAGCACTGGGGATGCGCTCTTGGTAAATGCCTCTTCTTCACTGACAGCCCACCTGTCCAATCGTGGCCACACCTGCTGAATGTCTTTGCGTGAATAAATATCTTTATTTATTCCACTGCCCCATCTACTGTCTGAGTCTCACCTCTTCTCCTCCTGCTGTCACCTCCTAACAGATGTCACTACTCCACATAGTAGGCAGGATGTTCTTTATTAAAATATTTAAAAATATGGTCATTGCCATTCACTTACTTACCCTTCCCATGGCTGTTCCTATTTAGTTTGGAATGAGGACCCCACACCTTAGTATTTCCTACAAGGCATGGCAAGGTTTGACCTCAGCGTCCACTCTAGTCTCATATGGGACTATTTTGCTTCTTTTTCACTCCACTGTAGTCACATTGGCCTTTTGTGAGTCCTATAAACATCTCATCTTAGGGCGTCAACACTTGGTGCCACTAAGAAAGCTCTAGTTCCTGCCCCTGTCCCCGTTCCTAGTTCCACAGGAAGGTTGGTCCCTCAGGGGAAGTCTTCCATGGCTGACCCTCTACCCTTGGCCCCACAGTGCGCACATTGGATCATGTTTGCCCGTTAGTGTCAGGTTTTCCACTGCTAGCATATAGCCACTGTCTATGAAGTATTACCTGTCTCCCACTGTTCAGCTTTTTATTGCATGGCCAGCCCTTAATGAGGGAGCCTGGCACTAGAAGCAGGCTACCCTAATGCACCCCACAGCTCCTTGCCAGCAAGTACACACCCAACACTCAACAAGACAGGATGGAAGCCCATTCTAACAAATATTTGCCAATGGACAGGATTTAGGTTTTTACAAAAAAACAAGTTGGAAAAAGCTCCATTAAGACGGCCCCTGCCTTGACAGTAGCTAATGTGGAACCACCACACTTGCTGTTTGGAGGTGATGTGTTGAAGACGTAAATACCCCTAGACTGCAAGACCTCAGTGGCTTGGTCTCTCTTTCTACCCATCCCTCCTTTTGCTTGGAGCTTCTATGTCTATTGCTCAAATAAAACTTCCCTTCTTGTCACTGTGGCGTCCAGTCTCATAAATTGTCGTCGACACCAGGACACCAACCAGGGCTCATCTCCCCAGCTCTGCCACAATATTAGCACTCGAGCAAACTACTAGATACACAAGCTGCTGATACATGAAAGATGTGATTTGCATGACTGTAGGAGGCGAGTGTGGAAGTTGGGAGACCAGTTAAGAAAAGGCACTGAATAGAGCCCAGGAGAAAAGATTCTAAGGAGGCTGTGTATGGATTAGGGCTCTTAGGATATAAGCAACACAAACACGACACTGGCTCATGTAACCAAAAAGGACTTACTGGAAGGGTAGGGGAAGTTCGGAGTTCAAAAGGGCAGCCTGTAGTGCCAGCATCCCACATAGATGCCGGTTCAAGTCCCGGCTGCTCCACTTCCAATGCAGCTCTCTGCTGTGGCCTGGGACAGCAGTAGAAAATGGCCCAAGTCCTTGGGCCCTTGCACCTGTGTGGGAGACCTGGAAGAAGCTCTTGGCTCCTGGCTTCAGATCTGCACAGCTCTGGCCATTGCAGCCAATTGGGGAGTGAACCAATGGATGGAAGACCTCTCTCTCTCTCTCTCTCTCTCTCTGCCTCTCCTCTGTGTAACTCTGACTTTCAAATACATAAATAAATCTTTTTTTTTTTTTTTTAAAAAAGAGCAGTCTAGTAGCCAGCCCCAAACAAAAGGAAAGGCAGCCGTGTGGTAGAGAGAGCAGAAACTTTGGAGGGTGGTCTCAGGCACCATCGCTATGTCAGCATCAATCATTTCTCAGATAGTAGGTCCTGGAGGAGAGATCTGTCCAGCACACAGGTTTCCTGGCAGACCCCGCGTGACTGCACGGTGGGGCTGGACAGTTTCCCAGAGAGGAGAGTGTTGTAGATAAGAGAGGAGGAATGGTGTTGGCCAAGTCCGTAGACTTCCTGCCATGAGAGCAGGTAGTCGTGAACCTCTGGCTCCTGACTCCGTGGATGCTGATGCCCCTCATCAAGTCAGAGAAGTTGGGGAGAGGGCGCGCTCCAGGTGAGGGGTGAGTGCAGCTGTCCCCTAAGCAGTGACTCCCACACTGTGGCCCGGGACCTTAGGATTTAGGGATTTGAGAGGTGTCACCCTCTACAAGAGAAAAAACCATGGACGTGAACGTGACAGCTTTGGGACAGGGTACTGAGTAAGTCAGGAAGAACCCTGGATGGCATGCTAGGAGTAGTAAAAGTTAAGCAGCAGATAAGAGTGGAAGCTGGGCAGATGAGTGAGATAGGTAACTGACCTACTGAGAGATCAGGGTAAGTGTTCTGGTTTTTTGTTTGTTTGTTTGTTTGTTTGTTTGTTTTGAAAGGAGAGTGAGTTAATTGTTCCAAGTTTCTTCTTGGGAAAGTTGCTTGTGTTCTTGAAGGCAATTTTTATCTTCTACCTCCAGGCAGGGAGCTGATGGACTTTTTGTGTGTGAAGTTTCTTCAAAAGTTCATAGATTCCTAGCTATTAGCATTACCAAACACTTAATCCTATCTATATGATCACTTTAATACTTGAAGTGCTATTTTTACCACCCAGCTTAAGGGGATTTGGCATCAAAAGTGGAATTAAATGACAAAGTTTTTTTTTTTTAAGATTTATTTATTTGTTTGAAAGTCAGAGTTACACACAAAAAAAAGGAGAGACAGATAAAGAGAGAGGTCTTCCATCTGCTGGTTCACTCTCCAGTTGGCTGCAATGGCCAGAGCTGTGCAGATCCGAAGCCAGGAGCCAGGAGCTTCTTCCAGGTCTCCCACGTGGGTGCAGGGGCCCAAGGACTTGGGCTATCTTCTACTGCTTTCCCAGGCCATAGCAGAGAGCTGGATTGGAAGTGGAACAGCCAGGACTCAAACTGGTGGCGGCTTTACCCGCTATAACACAGCACCGGCCCCAGAAGTTTTTTTCAAATTTGAAATGTATGTATATAAAGTGTTTATGGAAAATGTGTAGCATGAAAAAGCTTCACATGGATTTCAAC